ATGTTGTATATATGTTTTAGGTATATTTTCTTGGGGGAAGACTATGAGCCCTTGGCATTGATCCCTAACAAGCTTCCCACCTCACTCCTCCCCACCAAAGACTCACAGACTGGTGGGCCATACAAACACAGTTAGAAACAGCATTTGCTGCTCTGACAAAGTAATGGCATCTGTATGCTGTTTGGATTTCAGAAGTCCATTCTTGACTGGGAGTTCTTTCCACATTCCACATAGTGGAAACTCTCTTCAAACTTAGCTACTTATATCCTTATCAGATTGGTGCCTTAGCCTTTGTGATTTAGCACCTAAAATGCTAGTCCACATTGTTTTGAGTCTTTCTTTTATTATGTCTTTACAACATTGCTTTCTGACCTGATATGACTACAAAACAGCTGGTTTGTGTTTGTTTCAATAAACATTTCTTTGAAACTTGTAACAGATGTTGTTAAGACCCCTTCAGCACTGCAATTCACCAGCAGCTATGGAACATAGATCTGCTTACATGCTGACAGCTTCTCTGCCTGAATACAGAGTAGACAACCCTGTGTAGCCAGGAAATGGCAGAGAATTAATTGGCCCTCCAAGCATGCCTCAACCAAGGAAGTTGATAGAAGAGCTCGGCTTTCTCTTTCTTTAGTGTGACTTATCTAAGGCATTTATATGGTTCCTCAAAGGCTCTCTAGCAGGACTAGGTTCCAGTTATCTGTAGGAGTTAAACTGTTAATAGACTTTTTGTCTTCTTTCTCACTTTTCCCTCAGGCATGCTTCCTGGAATCTCTCTTCCCCTCCTCCCCCACTCCCCATTAAGGTACTGGCCTCTAAATTTTTATCTCAGGATTGCCTTTTGAAAGAACCCAAATGATATAAGTCCTTATTGGCCGTCATTATTCACAGTAATAAATAGTTTACTGTTACCATGACCACACCAGCACCTTTCCTTACATATCCACTCACTGGTATTTTATTTCGTAGCTTCCTTCATGGTTGACACTACTTGCAGACTATAGCAGAAGTGAATGGACTAGGGTTTATGGGAAATAAAATACTACCTATCTACCTATGACTAATTCAGTTTAGCTAGACTAACCTTACCTGGTTACTAGGGTTTTTTACAAGTTACCTTTTCCTGCTGTGGTCATCTGTAACAATGTGACAATATGCCTTATAACATGTGAAAAAGTTTGTTGTCTGATGTGAGTTAGATCAGATGCATTTATTGTTTCTAAAAATTGATAGAGTCTGTGCTGGAAAAGAACTTAAGGGGGCCAGAGCGATATACTATGCAGGTTCATGCCTTGCATGCAGTTGACCCAGGTTTGGTCCCCTAAGCCCTGCCAGGAGTGATTCCTGAGCACAGAGCTAAGAGTAAACAGGAGTTACCCTTGAGCATTTCCATTATGCCTGCATGTGTGTGTGTTTCCCCACCCCCCCACCCCACCCTACCCCCCGCACCAAAGGAGGAATTGGTACTATATATAGGGTTCGATTCTTCTGTCCCTCTTGGAGAGCCCGGCAAGCTATCAAGAGTATCCCTCCCTCATGGCAGAGCCTGGAAAGCTCCCTGTGGCATATTCAGTATGCCAAAAATAGTAACAAGTCTCACAATGGAGACATTACTGGTGCCCGCTTGAGCAAATTGATGGACAACGGGAGGACATTGCTACAGTGCTACATCATGTCTCAGTTATGTGACTAGTTACAGCACAGCAGTTTATGTATTTCTGAAGCCAAACTTCAAATAAATGACTGGACTTCTTGAAGGCAGATATTAACATTTCAAAATAGGAATAAAATCACAAATAGTTATATTTCTTTCACTAAAGTACTGACAGATTATATTACATATCCTTTGCTGTACTGGGGTCTGACTCTAGGACTTCACACATATGAGGCATGTGCTCTACTTCTGAGGCATATCCTTGACCCTAAATTTTTTTTCTAATGTCTTGGGAATTGGAAGTCCTTTTCCACTTGAGATGTTTTATAATGGACGTTCAATAATAAGTAATTTTCATAATTAAAAAAGGTGTTCTTTAGATAGTCACACATTGTGGAAATTTGAGGCAAATTTCATGTTGCCAGCTGTTGCTTAAAAATGGTTTTTAATTTACAGCAAACTCTTAGACAGGACGTGCCCCTGCCATGTGTCCTTTCTACACCAAAGTCCTAAGATGTAACAGTGTTCCTCATTTGGTTCTTACTGTGTGTAGGTTTGTGGCAAAGATGAGATGTGCCTCTGGAGAGCAGCCTATAAAGAAATTCTTTGGTTTGGAGCCTGTTGATCTGCAGCCCACCCATTTTACCTTTCTTTACCTGTAAAAACTCCTTTCTGTGACCAGGCAAATGGCGGTTTTGAGGATGAGCCTGCTACCATCCCTGATAGCCAATAAAATTCTTTCTTTCTTGACCTGTCCAAAAAAAAAGTGCATAATTAGTTGGCCCTTGAACAGCTTGAATTATAACTGCGTGGATGTCTCCTTTCCCCCCTTTTTAAAAAACTGTTTTTTTTTCTTTTCACCCTTAAGCCCTTTCCCTTTGTTGGTGACCAGATGTCATTTCAGTTTTAGTTCTTACAGACAGTTGGTTGCAGAATGCCAGAGATCTCACACACTTTGATAAACAACAGTAGAAGGGAAGGCTTGTTGGCCTACTGGTCTTTTTTTTTTCTAAAAAAAAAAAAATATATATATATATACACATACATATATATACATCAAATGTATAAAATGTTTTTATACATTTGTTTTTAAAATACACATATATACATATATACACACGTGTGTGTGTATAAAATTAGTTAGAAAATTGTATTTGGTAGCCTCATTATGTTGTCAGAGTCCAAAGGGTTATTATTATTATTATTATTATTATTATTATTATTTGCTTTTTGGGTCACACTGGGCGATGCACAGGGGTTACTCCTGGTTTTGCACCCAGGAATTACTCCCGGCAGCGTTCAGGGGACCATATGGGATGCTGGGAATTGAACCCGGGTTGGCCATGTGCAAGGCAAATGCCCTACCCACTGTACTATTGCTCCAACCCCCAAAGGGTTATTTTTTCACCATTGTTAATTTACTTTCTCGGTTCTTTTACATTCCATGGATGAGTTAGGGTATTCAACATTTGTCCTTCTCCCTCTGACTTCACTTAACATGATACTTTTCTGATTACATTTAAGTTGTGGAGGTTATTGTTCTCTTTTTAAAAAGACTATTCTTTAAAAAAAAAATTCCTAGGGACCAGAGAGATAGTACAGGTCTTAAGGGGCATACTTTATGGCTGATGTTGGTTCTATTTTGGTACCACTTAGTCTGCTAGACATCGATGGGTATAGCCCTGGATGCCCCAACACACTGATGATTAAGTCTTTGGAGACCTCAAGGTGGCTCAGGGAATCTCCGGCACTACAGCACTGGATTCTTAGACCTTCTCATTAATCTATCGGCTTAGTTGACTGAGAATCATCAGATGGGGCCCCCAACGTTTCCTGATCACCACTTGGGAGGAACTTCCCCTCAAATTAAATTATTTTAGATTCTTGGAGTAACATGTATGTCATTTTAAAATTTTGTATTTTTAATAACACTAGCTGGAGTTAAGCTTTATTTTGCAAGCTTACTATTATGAGCTACTTATCTGTGTGTAGCCAGATTGTGTATGAATCACCTCCTTTGGTTTCATTAATTAACTATTTTAGGCTGCTAATTTAATAGACTATTATTTTCTGTTACACTTACACTAAAATGTCTTGGTGAAAAGTTAGTGAGACTTTTTAAGTTATTCTTCTGGGATTGTAGTTGGAACACTATGAATGGTTGAAACATAAGGAAATTTTTTCATCTTAGACTGTAGAGTTTTACAGATGTGTTATTTTATATACTTTTCATCCCTTGCCATACTAAATTTCGTTCACTTTGTTTTCTTACCATTTTTACTGCCTCATACCACCTTGACACCTATATGTACCTCACAAACTTCAGCCTTATCAAACCTGCTTTATCATCAGAATATTGTCCATTCCTCAAGTTCCAAACCCTCCAGTTCTGTTATTAATCCTTCTGATTCCAAACCACTGGATTCTTTTTATTTTCTGATGTCTTGGTTGGTCATTGTTTTTCTTTATGTGTACTGAACCTGACCGAAGCATTTTTACTTACCCTCTCTAATTGAACTCACCTAGGATTTTTTCCCAGCTCTTTAGTATTTCTATGGTACGTATTACATAAGAGGCACTTAGTACTTTTTTTTTTAAATTTTAATTAATTTATTTATTTATTGAATCACCATGGGAAAAGTTACAAAGCTTTCAGGTTTAGGTCTCAGTCATGCAAATATCAAGCACATTTCCCTTTACCAAAACTTATTTTTTACGATGAAGAACCCCAATAAAACCCCACCCCCCACCCCTCCCAGTCCCTGTGGGGCAGATGAATTCTAGTTAACACTATCTGCTTTGATTAGATTCATTGTTTCAATAAAAGATTCACCACTATTATATAGAGTTTATCCCCCCCCCCCCCGCCGCCCCCCGAATCAGACATGCTGACAAAGCATTGTGAAGTGATTTCCTTTCTACAGCTGGGTTCAAGAATTATATGTTAGTTTTGGATTTCTGCTATTTTACTTATTGACCCTGGAAGTATTTCTACTGAAAGTCAGATAGTTAAGAAATTGGTTTCTGTGCTCTGGAGTCGTGGCCGTGCTGGAGAGCCGCTAGTGGGGGGGCAACTGGTGGCCTCGGTAGGGCGTGAAGGGCGGACCGAAATGCCCCCCTGCCCATGAGGTTTTAGTCACCCCCACTCCCCCGGCTCATACCTGCTGTCCACAAGGCTCCCATGCGGCCGCCATCTTTCTTTCCAGAGAGGAGAAGGCGATAAGAGGCACTTAGTACTTTAAGGTATTAAATAACCAGTTATTTTTTAGTCTGCTGTTTGTAATTTCTTTCAAGGTAATACGCGTGATTTTTTAAAAAAGACATTTATTTATTTTTTTGATAGATGTTAAAAAAGATTGGTCTGACCATGCTCTCTGGTGGGAAAAGAAGAGAACTTGGCTTCTTAAGACACACTGGACATTGGATAAGTATGGCATCCAGGCAGACGCTAAGCTTCAGTTCACGCCGCAGCACAAACTGCTCCGCCTGCAACTTCCCAACATGAAGTATGTGAAGGTGAAAGTGAACTTCTCTGACCGAGTCTTCAAAGCTGTTTCGGACATCTGTAAGACTTTCAGTAAGTACCAGATACATTTTTCATGAACATGTAGAGTGTGAGTGTGTGTGTGTGGGGGGAATGGGAGGGAGGGAGAGAGTGAGAACTGACATTGAATTTGTCCTAAAGAATAACAATGAGTGAGGTATACGGTATTTTGTTGTTTTTTGTTCTTTTTTTGTTTGGTTGGTTGGTTTGGCCGTAGGGCACACATGGTGGTGCTCAGGGCTTATTGTGGGTCTGTGCTAGGTAAGCAGTTTAATCCTTTCACTAAGCTTTTATGTTGATGTGAAACTTTTATTCTTAAGCTGTTTAAATAAATCAATTGGGTTAAGGTGGAAACTTACAAGAGTTGCTTTTCTTACGTAAAGTTTATTAACTACTTCTTACTAGCTGGAGTTGAATACTTCAGTCTGATTATTTTTATGAGAAGTAAAGAAATATTTTTTCAGAGAAATGTAGCATTTATAACATTTTCTCTGAATTGTCACTACTTAATTGTAGGAATTCAGCCAGATTGTGTCATTTCCTTCATTGAAGGCCTGACATAGCTTCTAAGGAAATGGCTGTGAATGTTGTCTTCCTTAACCAATGTACAGTCTGAACGCTCTTGTAGTATTCTATTTCTGAGATGAGATCACTCTTGGCTGACCTAGTTATATCATATGACTGGAGATTTTTAGCCATCAGAGAAAATACAACTGTGACGATTACCACTGATCCATAACTGTTCTGGACCGTAGATGTAGAGAAGATACAGTGGGTTGATGTTGCTCCTGTTTTGGCCTGTTAACTCTGGAAATACAATGGTTTTTATGTTTAGTGCAGTTTTTAAGAGGCAAAAAAACCCCTGTAAAGGCACAAGGTATTATATAAAAATTCCTAGTTACCATTGTTTAGAATTAATATTTTGTCATTTGTCAAACTTTTTTTCCTGCCACTTGATATAGGCAAAGTTCTTGAGTCACAGTCTTCTAAATTTTCTCTAAATAAAGTGGCTACTGTCATAGTTTCAGTTTGTATCTTTTCAGTACTTATAAAAATAATTAAACCCGTAAACATGAATATATTCGTGCATGTATTTTTATGTCCATGCATAGTATGATACTGCTATATTATGCTATTATGTTCTCAATGCAATTTTCCACATGCATGCAAGAATTTCTGTGGAGTATTTACCAAGATGTAGAATTGCTGTGTTTATACATATAATTCATTTCACAGTATCCCACACTAGAATGATTCATTTGTTGTCTTCTGTAAACCTATCTGGCACATCATTATCATTCAGAGTTCATAGCTATAGTAGGGTTCACTCTTGATGCTTCCCACTATTCTCATTACTGAGTTTTTATCATGAATGAGTTTTTTTTTTGTGCTCTTTTCTCATCTACTGATAATGGTCACAATACTCATATTAATCTTTTGATTTGATGGATTATATTTGTTGGTTTTTGGATGTTGAACCAATCTTTGCACACTTAGAGTAATTTCTACTTGGTTGTAGTGTAAAATTTTTTAATTCATCATTGAATAAGATATACTAATGTTTCATAGAAAATTTTATATGCAAACTGGTCTATAGTTTGCTTGTAATATCTTTGGTTTTGGTATTAGAGTAGTGCTGTCCTTATTAGATTGAATTAGAAAATATTCTCTGCTTCAGTCTTCTGGAAGGTAACTGTAGAAAATTAGTATAATTTGATTTTTTTTTCTTTTTGGCTTTTGGGCTTTTGTGGGCAGTGCTGGGCAGTGCTCAGGGGTTACTCCTGGCTCTACACCCAGGACTCACTCCTGGTGATACTTGGGGAACTATATGGGATTCCGGGGATCCAACCTGGGTTGGCTGTGTACAAGTCAAGAACCCTACCTGCTATATGATTGCTCTGGCACCCTTATAATTTGATGTTTAAGTGTAGAAATGTAGATAGATAGGAAATAAATTTATTTTTGGGTCACACGGCGATCCACAGGGGTTACTTCTGGCTGTGCTTGGGGGACCATAAGGGATGCTGGGAATCGAACCCAGGTAGGCTGCGTGCAAGGCAAATGCCCTACCTGCTGTGCTATTGCTCCAGCCCGGGAAATAAATTTTTTGACATGAGTCTTCACCATGATACTTTGATGGTGACTTATAAAATTAAGCAAAATTTAATTAAATTTAACTAATTTAATTTTAACTAATTTAACAAAATTTAACATTAAACTAAAAATCATGCATAACTGAATGATCTAAATGAATGATCTAAATGAAAAACAAGTTATGGAATAGGAAAAAATTGTATTGTCACTGTCCTCCCTTTGTTCATTGATTTTCTCGAGCAGGCCCAGTAACGTCTCCATTGTGAGACTTTGTTGTTACTGTATTTGGCATATCAAATACGTCACGCGTAGCTTGCCAGGCTTTGCCGTGCGGGCGAGATACTCTCGGTGCTTGCCGGGCTCTCTGGGAGGGGCGGAGGAATCGAACTCGGGTCGGCCATGTTGGCTGCTTGTAAGGCAAACGCCCTACCCGCTGTGCTATTGCTCCAGCCCAGGAAAAAATGTAAATAATATAACTGATAGTAGGTTAATATCCAAAATATATGATCTTACAGAACTCAATAGCAAAACAAAGGTAAATTTTAAAAATCTAGTTTTAAAAAATGAGCAAAGGACCTGAAACTATTTTTTTTTCTAACTAAGGTAGAGATGGCTAGCAAGAAACATGAAAAAAATGTTCAGATCATTAAAGAAATGCACCTCAGTTCACTGTCATCTTACACTTACCGGAATGCCATCATGAGAAAGACCAGATAACAATTGCTGGTGAGAATGTACATAATAGGGAACACTTTTACACTCTTGGTGGGAATATAAATTGGTGGAGCTGCTAAAGAAAACAGTATTGTGATGCTTCAGAAATGTAAAATCAGTACTTCGTATGATCCAGATTTCCACTTTTGGGAATATATACAAAGGAAATAAAAACTATGTTGAAGAGAGAATTTGCTCTCATATTCATAGCAGCATTATTTATAATATCTAAGATACATAAACAAATTTAAGTATCTATTGATGGACAGATAAATAAAGAAGTTGTGGTTAGTTTAAGTGTACACACAGAGACATACACTGGCACATGCAAGAACATTATTTGGCCATGAAAAGGGAAATCCTACTATTTATAAACTACATGGATGGACCTTGAGGGCATTGCATTAAATGAAGTAAGTCTAAATGAAAGCAGATACAGGGCCAGGGAGAAAGTTCAATGAGCTAGTGCACATGTTTTGCATTGGGAGATCCAGATTCTGTCCTGGCACTACATGGTCTCTCAGGCACTGCCAGAAGCATCTCCCACACACATAACACATAGACACACACCAGAAAAGAAAATATAAAGAATCTTTATTGTGTATGATATAAGCAAAACCAACCAAACTTATATTAAGAGAGATTATATTTGTGGTTGCCAGGGATGAAGAAGTGTCAGTAGTGGGGAAATTGGGTGGATATGCAGAACATGCTGCCAGGCATCTGAGCAGATACTCTGGCCCTACTTTCTATACCTTTTTATTTGGTAAGCTCTATCTTGATATTCTTTTATAATTTAACTTTTAAGAAAATACTTCCATGTAATGATTAAGTGAAACGTTCATTTCAGTTGTCACGGGCTTGTGATATGGTACAAATGTTAGAGCCTATGTCTTGCTTGTGAGATAAGTCTGAGTTTGATCCTCAGTGTCATATGCCCTCACCCAGCACCAGTGGGTGTGACCTGTGGTCTCCATACTACCAGTATGAACTGTATCTTTTTTTTCTTGGTTTTTGGGTCAGCAGTGCTCAGGAGTTACTCCTGGCAGTGCTTGGGGGACCATATGGGATGTCAAGGATTGATCCTGTGTCAGCTGCATGCAAAGCAAATGCCCTTCCCTGCTCTACTATGTCTCCATCCTGAGCCCTGTTTTTCTAGGAAAGTGCACTTGCTAGTTACTTTTGCCCTATGAAAGAGACACTTGCAATATATTTTGAAGTATGTAATATATTTTGACATTCGGGATTTGCAAATGAAGAGCAAATCTTTAATAAAATGAAATGGAAGAGAATCTGAGGGGTTAGTACAACTGTTAGCATGTGTCTGACCCGGTTTAATTTCTGTCACCACATGGCCCTCCATGCGTCATAGAGTGCATTCCTGGAGGCCCCCAGCATCACTGGGATGGCCTGGATATGCCCAGTACTGCAGGCCCTGAGCAGCATCACATCTTTGAGCCAACTAGACGGTCTGGTTGGCTTAGAATCTCTGATGGTGCCCCTGGACCTCATGAACACTACTTGAAAGTTCACCCCCAGCCCCCACCCTCCATTACCAAAGAAAAGGAGATGATGGAAATAATTCTAAGTTATCTGGAAAATTATCTAAAGATGCTACTATAAAAGACCACGTTCTGTGTTCAAGGCTGTAAAGTAATAGGATTCATAATTTGGATCTAGTGGAAACTAGTGGCATTAGATACACAAATAATTCATTCACATTTTTCTCTGTTTTACTTTTGTAAAGAAGAATCTTTTTGGGAGAGATAGAGAAGTACTCAGTAGATGTGGAACAGAATTCAGATTAACCTGCCTGTGAAGCATGCATTCTACATTTGAAGTGCTTCTAATCCCAGCTCTTGAGTTCACTGCATTCTTTTCAAAACTCTATGTTCCCTCTGATCTCTTCTGCTCCTCAAAAGTTTTCATAGCTGTAAAAGACACCTCCATCCATAAGACGAATACTAGAAACTTGGGAGTCTCTATACCACCACTGTGTCTCTCACCTGTGTGTCTGTCTCATCAATCATGTGGAAGTTTAAATTTTCTCCTCCAAGGTGTGTGTTTGTGTGTGTGTGTGTGTGCGTGCGCACACACATGTGTGTATGTATATATTCATGTATTATATTTTTTCATATCTTTCCAGCTCTAACTCTCTTATATCCTCCACCACTGTTCTCTCTCCCCTCTTCTGATCAGTAGTCTCCTACCTGGTATCCTTCATT